GCCTGAGCTACATAGTGAGCTCCTGCCCTCCCTGCAAAAAACAAAATAAGAAAGCCCTAATTAAAAAAAAAAACCGTATGTCCGTCTTCTCTTAACACCTACCTACACATTCTCCAAGGTCCCATGCAAATCCCAGGAATTCCATAAAGTTCTCCCAGATCCCCAGCTAGAGATGGCCCCTCCCCTTCTCAGGGCTCCTGGGATGGGGTGGGAGCTGTTTGCTCCCTTAGGCCCTTAATCCAGATGTAGATATTCAGTGTTACAGGGGATGAAAATAATGGTGGACAGGACAGGCTATTCCAGGCCCAGAGAAAAGGGAACTACTAATTCAGCTTGGACTGAAGGAGGATGGGCAGCACAGAGTCACAGAAGAGGCAATGCTGGACAAAGCCGACAGCAATCAACAGGACACTGGGGGTGTGAGAAGGCAGGCAGGCAGTATGTTGTGTAGAGTCTGTCAGGGGGAGCTGCAGGAAATGGGAGCTGCAGATGCACAGTGGCTGGTAGAGAAAAGCCTCTAGAAAGCAGGCACAGAGGACTAAGAGCGGACACCACTAGGCAACCGCTGCAGTGTGGGCAAAGTCCCTTCTCACTGGTCCAGTCACAGGAAGGCCGCTCTGTGACTGTGCCTGGTGCTCCAGGGCTCGCACCTACCACCTGCTGCCCTTCCCACGCTCATGTGGTGACTTCTCTTGGAGAACAGGAGTCTTTTCCTGTCCTCCCCAGGAGCTAGGCGCAAGGCACCATGCTAGACCCCTGGAGCGGACAGACAGACATGTACTCACGTTGGCCTTCTGCTTCTCAGCCTGCAGCTGGGCATCAATCTCCTCGGGGCTTGTATACTGCCTCACCCGGCCTTTGTGGCCTCCCTTTCTACCTGCACAAAGAGCACAAGTTCAGGGAGGTGAGACAGAAGGCTGCCTTCTTTGCACTGATCCCCAGAAGGCTGTCCTGCTTGGGACAAAGGGGACCTTACCCATCCTCCCCGAGTACCACCTAACCCAAGTGCTCCCAAAGGACAAAAGCAGCAGCTTATAACACCTGATGCACAGATCACCGGATGTAGGTTCCTAACAATAGGACCTGAGGTGAGGAAAGGAAGATGGAGTCTGACTGAATCCTGTTTCTTAAAGCCCAGATATGGCTAGGTGTAGTGGTTCATGCGCACTTTTAGTCCCACTCCAGATTGCAAAGGCAGGCAAGATATAGACCTCTTGAATTCTAGTTCAGCCTGGTCTACATATGGAGTTGTAGGCCAGGAGGGCACCAAGTGAGACCTTGTCACAGCCCTATAAACAGACTCCAAATAGCATTCGCATGTGCAAGCAGAGAAGCATGAGACATGCATGCCACTTCTGGCACTACAAGGCTTTTCTTTAATACTGCCACAAGCGCATCTGATCCTCAGAACACAGGAACAGCACAACAGCCATTGATGGGTTCCTTCCATAAGCAGGCAAAGTGCAAAACAGGAAGAGTTCTGTCGCCTAAAGCTCTGGATTCCAATCTCAGCTTTACCTAGATCTTTTCCTAGATTTATGGCTCTCTGGGCAGGTGTATATTTTACCACAGCCTCAATTTCCGCTTTTCCCATAAGGCTGCCGTGGAAATAAACTGGTTACCATTTGAAAAGCAGTTGGGGTAGGAAATGGTGGCACACGCCTTTAGCCCCAATTCTTAGGAAGGCAGATGCAGGCAGATCTCTGGGAGTTCAAGGCCAATCTGGTCTACAGAGCTAGCTCCAGGACAGCCAAGGCTGTTATACAGAGAAACCCTGTCTCAAAACAAAACACCAAAAAAACAAAACCAACAACAAAACAGAAAAAAAAAAGCAGCTGGGGCCGGGCGATGGTGGCGCACGCCTTTAATCCCAGCACTCGGGAGGCAGAGGCAGGCGGATCTCTGTGAGTTCAAGGCCAGCCTGGTCTACAGAGCCAGTTCCAGGACAGCCTCCAAAGCCACAGAGAAACCCTGTCTCGGAAAAAAAAAAAAAAAAAAAAAGCAGCTGGGATTGTGTGTGGAATTGGATAAGGAACACAAAATGTCTGCTAATCTGTTCTAATACACTGCTTGGTAGAAAAACATAAGCTACCACACAGGCCCCCTAAGCAAACTATCACCAATGGTAGCAGAAACAATAAAATACTCCATGTTTATCTTGGTGATATGAAGAGAATATTTACAGTATAAAAATTCAAAATCTACCAGTAGAAATTCTGTGCTTATAATTAAACTAGCAAATGGAGCTACAGAGATGGCTCAGCAGTCAGACAGCCTCGGTTGGTTTCCAGCACCCACTTGGCAGCTCAAAATCATCTGTAACTCCAGTTGCAGGGTAATCCAAAGTCCTCTCCTAACCTCTCGGGCACTGCACCCATATAGTGCACTTACATACATGCAAGCAAAATACTCCACTGGCACAAAAAAAATTAAACTAGCAAAATTAAAGTTGAATACAGATCCAACAGCAGTCTAACTCTTGACTATTAGTGACAATTCATCTCAGAGGCTTAGTTCCATACCCGATGCTTTAGCCAAAACACTAAACCAATTCCTGCTAAAGCCCTTCTTATCCCTGGGTGGCAACTCCTCTGCATCCTGATGCAGATGTGGCTATGACCTCTTTTGATTTCCAAAAGCCCCTTGCTGTGAGTAGAGACTCTGAAATCAGACTGTCAGAACTGCTCCAACTGGAGAACATTGCAGACACTGATTTCCTGGACAGCAGCTGCAGAGCTGTAATTGGGCTGCCACAGTCCACACCACCCATTTTTAATGACTACCTGAGTTCCCAGGGGTATCTAGGTATGCTCATAAAAGGTCTGTTGTGAGATACCAAGGTTGCCATTAAAAAAACAAAGAAAAAACATCAACAACAACAAACACCCCCTTTCTTGCCTTCTTAGTATTCCAGGCAGTAGTAACAATGAAAAACTGGTCACTGCAGGGCCTTATTCCCTACACTTGTCTATAGGATACTGACTTTAGTTTGGTTTACATAGGCTCTTTCAAGACCCTAAAAACAATTCACAGTATGATGAAAACAGAATCGGTCCTTCCTGGGAAGTTTTTTTATTTTCCCCCTCCTGAGACAGGGTTTCTTTGAAGCTTTGGAAGCCTGTCCTAGAACTTGATCTGTAGACCAGGCTGGCCTTGAACTCAGAGACCCACCTGCTTCTTCCTCCCCCAAAGCTGGGATTAAAAGCGTGTGCTAACACTGCCAGGCTTCCTGGGGAATTTCTTACAAATTTTTTTTTTATGGTTTTAGCAATGTCTCCTCATATTAACCCAAGCAAGGAAACAGGCCTTGTCTGCCTGCAAAACTTTTTATACAAATCAAAAGACTAAGTCAATTAGCCAGCATTTCATATTTAAGACCAAGGAACTGTACTTCACACCTTGGAGTCAGAATTCTGGAGCTGGAAAAGTTCTTTGCCTCTTACAGATGAGACTGAAGAACAAAAGACAGTGCTCTCCACCTTTACTCCCAGCATTTTGGATCTCTGTGAGTGCAAGACCAGTATGATCTACAGATCGAGTTCCAGGACAGCTAGGACTACACAGAGAAACCCTGTCTTGAAAACAAAAAGCAAACAAAACAAAACAAGACAGTGCTCTTCTAGGCACAGAATAAATCAGCAGAGACCTGGGTTTAGCCGCACCTGGCTCTGTAAAGCCTAATATCTGGATAGTGACAGGAAGCAATTTAGGTTTGAAAAAGCTCCAGGCAGATGTTCCTGTAGGCTGACTGCATTAACTGACTTAACACGTGAGCTACCAACATTCACTGATCAGACTAAGTTCTATCATCGTAGAACTCCTGTCTCCAACTCATCAAGCTAAACTTTACTCATAACCCTGTAGTTCAGATGAAGAAGACGAACTAGAAGAGGTTAAAATCTTGTTTGAGGCCACAGAATCAGGATGTGATGTATCTAGTATTCAAACCCCCATTCTAAAAGGGAAAGAGAACATAAGACGGGAAACGCTGTCTTCTTGATCCGCACACACAGTAATAGCTAGTGGTTGCCTGGGCATTTAGGGGCTGCGGGGCACTGGACTGAGTACGTGAGTCACGTAGTTTACGCCTCACAACAGAACAAGAGGTAGAGACATAATCAATGCGTCCCCGTTTGGAAACGACAAAAACAAGAGACAAAGAAGTTAGGCGACTGGCTAAGAGACACATCCTCAATGGCTACCATGCAAGGAGAGAGTCAAAGCAAGGTGGGCCAAGAACCAGATCATTAAGTCACGGTCTTATTATGAGGCAGACGTGGCCGAGTTGGAGCCCGACGGATCCCACATTTTATGCTCGTGGCAGACAGGCTCCGCACCAGCGCGGGACGCGGTGACTCAGTCTCGGGCCAGCCAAATGGGAGCATAACTTCAGACGGTCCCAGGCTCGGAGGAGCGACCCTAGGGTCCCGCTTTCCTCGGGGGAGAGGACCTAGCGCCCGTGAATCTCCTTAAAATCCCCGATGGAGATGCTCTCGACCACTGCGCTCCTCAGGTTCCTAGTCAGGACAATTGAGCGTCGAGGCCCACGCTTGGCTGTGAAGCGGTGGGGATGGCCTCCTTCGGCGCGGGTCTCCTAGAGGTCCGCGGGCTGAGGGGACAGCGACAGCCCACCCACGGCCGCCCCTAGCGAAGCCACGCGAAACACGCGCGCCCACCCCCTCACCTCCTTTAGGCATCGCGGCTCCGGCGGCTGCAGCGGCGGCGGCGCCTCGAACTGACACCGGAACCGGAAATGCTTTGGGATCGACTTCTTCCGCCCGGCCCAGTCCCTCTCCGCGTGCCGCCGCCGCTGCTGCCGCCGCTGCGAGGAACGGGGACCTCACCGAGGCCGGGCTGTCTTGCGAGTTGCCTGAATTCCTGGCCTGACCGCGTGTTGCCAGGCAACCGTGCTCCCTGGTATCCCGGTCCGGGGAGACGCGTAGCTGTTCCGGCCACCCCCACAGGAAGTGAGAGGAAAAGGGCCGAAGGGTTTCCGAAATTCTACAAAGGCAGCGCTCGGACACCTAAGATGACGCAATCACCGCGCGAGGTGGGCGGGGCTCCGCGAGGGCCTTATTTTGAAGAGTTTCTCTCTGGGGCGGAAGCCGTCAATAAAGAAGCGGCGGCCTTAGGTGCCTGGCCTTCCGGTGAGTGTTTCTTTCCTCTGTTCTCGAGTACTGTGCCTTTTGCAACGGTTACGGCGGGGGCGGGAGTCCCTGATGGCTTGGTACCTTTGTCGTTCTGTGCAGGGGATGGTAGATTTGGGGCTGTTTATTTCTCAGTGTGTTTTTTTTTTCTTAACGTCGTTTTCTCTTCCGGGACTGTTTTCTAGATAGCGCTTGTTTCTCAGATGCTGGTCTCTTGAGTTTTCCCCACTGTCCCTTCTGTAACTTCCCTCTCGTTCGTTCACCTCTTTTCCAAAACTCCTTTCGTCTGTAAACCGCCCAGCTCCTCTTTCCTCCTGATACGTTCACCTCCTCCTTTTACCTCTCTCCTTACCCGAGAGTCTCCTAAATTGAATTGTCCTGGGTCTGGAGAAAGCGATTCTTTAGTCAGGCTGCGCGCCCTGGGAAGGGATCAGACTCCATCCACCTCTTAATAGTGCTGGGAAAACCGTTGCACAGACCACTGATTGGGAAGTCCGGCGTCTCTCAGTCAGACTCTGCCAGTTCTCAGCTCTGTGACCCTGAATCCACCAATTAGAGTTTGACTCATTTGTAATGCTGTTAATGAAAGATGTGTGTGTGGGGGTGTAAAATATCATTTCACCATATATCGGGTGGGACTGAATACATTGGAAGAAATGAGTCGGTTATGCTTACTGGTAGTAAATGTCCAGGGTTCTCTTTGCCACCTAGAAAACTTAATGCAATTTGAAAAGAGGCTTTTCACCTATTTAGTCGACTAAAGACACATGCCTTTAATCCCAGGAGGCAAAGGCAATCGAATCTCTGTGTGTTCGAGGACAGCCAGAGCTATACAGTGAAATCCTGTCTTGAAAAATAATACAAAACAAAATATACTTTTCTGTTCTTTTCTTTCTTTCTTTCTTTCTTTTTTTTTTTTTTGGTTTTTCGAGACAGGGCTTTCTCTATTGTTTTGGAGGCTGTCCTGTAACTCACTCTATAGACCAGGCTGGCCTCTGAACTCACGGAGATCCACCTGCCTCTGCCTCCAGAGTGCTGGGATTAAAGGCTGCACCACCAACGCCCAGCTTCTGTTATATTTCAACTTGCCCGTTGTTTATTGTGTGTAATCTGCTTTTATTTTACAGAAGAGACCAAGTACCAAACAAGAAAAGTGATCTCCCCAAAGTCACAGAATAATTGGTAAATCTAGACAAGAGCACAGACTTGTAACTGTAAAGACCAGGGATTTTTTTATATATTCTTGTGGAAAGAAAGATCCAAAGGTATGGTGCTTTTTATACTCATATTTTCCCCCTTTTAAATTATTACTCCTTGGGTTCACTTAGAGGCTTTCATTGTAATTGTTTTTTAATCAGTTCTTATAACATCTTTTTTGTTTGTTTGTTTGTTTTTTTGAGACAGGGTTTCTCTGTGTAACCGGCCTGGCTGTCCTGAAACTGGCCTTGAATTCACAGATCTGCCTGCCTCTGCCTCCAAAGGTCTAGGATTAAAGGTGAGTGCCACCACCGCCCAGCTCTTACTATCCTTATTTCTACAGGCAAGAAAACTAAAATTTAAGGTTTTTTTTTTTTTTTTTTTTTTTTTGAGACAGGGTCTCATGTGGTCTAGATTGGCCTCAAACTTACATATGCAAAGCTGGCCTTGATCCTTCTGCCTCCACCTCACATATGCGTTGGTTATAAGTGTGTGCCACCATTCTCATGTAGGGAGGCTGTTTTTGGCCTTCTGAAGAATGATCTATTGTGAGCATACTTTTGGTTTTGGATGCAAGCCAAGGAATAAAATAAATAGCTAGGGAGAAAGGGAAGGGTTTGGCTCATGGGGGAGCAGCCCATGCCCAGATAAGGGACTGGGAGGGTATTGAGACATGTGCTTGGCTTTGAAATAGGGGGTGGAGAGCCACTTTTTAGAGGAGCTCAGAAAACACATCTGACTCACCAACATAACATACACTTTTTTGAGCTTGGTAGCCGTGAGGAGCAGAGCTACAGTGTGGATTCAGGCAGTCCCTTCATGGCGCTACTAGTGCTTTTGCTGCTTTGAGTAAATGAAAGAGCACCAGGAATGGCTCCTGAGACTCAGAGAGCACTTGGCTTTCTCCTAGGTCCTTCCTAGCTATCTTGCTGGGAAATGCCCAAAGTCAAAAGAAGCCGGAAAGCGCCCCCAGATGGCTGGGAGCTGATCGAACCAACACTGGATGAGTTAGATCAAAAGATGAGAGAAGGTGAGTGGGGTGCTCCTGCCTGGGTAGGCTGGATGACAAACACTGTGAGAAGAGACTTGTTGCAAACCAAGTTTCGTTGTTTGCTTATCAACTCAGGATACTTGAAAGTTCTGAAATTTAAGATAACATTAATGAAAATATCGTTCCACTCCAAAAAACAAGGTGTTTTATTTCTAATTAGTGGGTATATTTATAAGAAAAACATCAGTTGTCTTTTTTACTTCAATGATTTATTGGAGACAGGGTCTCATTGTGTAAATTTTTTTTCCTCTTATTTTTGAGATCGAGTCTTTACATAGCTTAACTGTACTGGACCTGTAGAATCAGGCTGGTCTTGAACTCATGGAGAGCTTCTTGCCTGTGCCTCCCAAGCACTGAGATTAAAGGTGTACCACAATGCTCAGCTTGGTCTGTGTGGTTTTTCTTTTCTTTTTTCCTTTTTAGATTGATTTTACATTGGGGAGAGGTATATGCATGGGGGTACAGGTGCTTGTGGGGCCAGAAGAGGTGTCAGATTCTCTAAAGCTGGAGTTAAAGGCAGTTGTGAATCTCTGACATGGGTACTGGGAACAGCCCCATTATGAAGTATTTTTATTCATGCGTTTTTTTCCTCCCCTTTTGAGACTCTGTAGCTTTGACTGGCCTGGAACTCTGCTACATATTCATTTTTTTTACAGATCTTTGAAAGTCTTCTTTAGCCCTTGGTCTTTGTACCATGTAGCAGTTTCATTTATTTATTTGGAGACAGGGTTTCTTTGTATTGTTTTGGAGGCTGTCCTGGAACTCACTCTAGACCAGGCTGGCCTCGAACTCACAGAGATCGGCCTGCCTCTGCCTCCAGAGTGCTGGGATTAAAGGCATGCACCACCAACGCCCCGCCAGATTTATTTATTTACTTTCCAGTTTAAATTTAGATAAGAAACAAGGTTGCTTCACAAGTCAGTTCCAGGTCCCTCTCCCTTTCCCTCCCCTCCTCCCGTGCCCTCCCCCCAGATTTATTTATTTTTATATGAGTGTTTTGCTTCATGTGTATCATGTTTGTGCCTGATGTTTGCAAAGGCCAAAGAGGGACATTGGATCCCTGGAACTGGAATTACAGCTATGATATGAGTTGTCACCTAGGTGCTGGGAATAGAACCAGGGTTCTCTGCAAAAGTAGCCAGTGCTCTTAACCACCCAGCCATCTCTCCAGCTTCCCCTTGAATTGCTGTTTTTGAAATATCTGTTTACAGCTAACCTGATCATTGCTATTATGAGATCAGACCAGAAGCCACTGTTACCTTTGCTTTCTTTACACAACTGGATGTGCCAGTTTCTGTTAAGTACCCAGAACTTGGTAGTAGTCAAGGTTGCTATGGGTTGAGATTTCTTGACACAACTCTGAAAGTAAAGGAAATTAGAGTGTAGCTCTAATCAGCTCTCTCTGATGTGTGTCCTAAACTCATGGTTACTATTTAACTTCTTGGGGGAGTTGCCAGACATTTCCTACACCATATTGCATCCTGCTAGAAGGGCTTGAGGATTCCAGTTTTTTGTCTGCTCTTGTGATTGTCCATTGTTTTCATTACTATCCCCATGGGTATAAAATAATCATAACTGTAGTTATGGAAGCAAACATGCTACATGCTATGCAGACTATCTCCTAAAACACATACATGCTTTTTTTTCTCTCCAGCTGAAACTGAACCCCATGAGGGAAAGAGGAAAGTGGAATCTCTGTGGCCCATCTTCAGAATCCATCACCAGAAAACCCGCTATATCTTCGACCTCTTTTACAAGAGGAAAGCCATAAGTAGAGGTGTGACTGACTAAATACCTTGACCTTTAAGAAGCTATTGTTAATGTGTTCACATACGTGGGAAGCAGTCGTATTCCAAGGCTTCCATGTGGAGGCTGCGAAACAACCTTTAGGAGTTGATTCTCTCCTTTTGCTGTGTGGGTCTGGAGGATCAAACTCAGGTCATTAGGTCTGTATGGAAACCATTCTTGGCCCTGAGCCATCTTGCTGACCCTCTTGACTTTTTATACCTGAGTGGTTTTCAGAATTTATATGATGGTTCATAAAAAGCTGGGAGTCACCATGCCTGGTGGCACACACCTTTAATCCATCATTTGGGAGGCAGAGGCAGGTGGTTGTCTGAATTCAAGACTAGCCATTTCTATACAGCAGGTTCGAGGACAGCCAGGGGCTACACAGATAAACCGTCTTTAAAAAAACAAAAAAGGTTGTGTTATGGTTCAGACCTATACTTTCAGCACTTGGGAAGCACAGGCAGGAAAATTGTTGGGCATTCCAGGCAAGCCTTGACAGTAGTGTGAGATCCTGACTCCAAAAACAAACAAACCAATGGTTCTTGTCTTTGCCGACCCAGCAAACATCAGTTTTCTTACCACTGATGAAGAAATTGTGTGTGTTTGTGTGCTATTTTTTTTTTAAACATGGTTACACTAAGTAATCCTGGCTGGCTTCAAACTAACCTGCTTCTGTCAAATTCTGGGATTAAAGACCTCTGCTTGCCTCTCAAATGATTCTAGCCTTTGTCAGATTGACATAGCACTAGCCAGCATAGCCTGTCTGGTGGTGACACACGCCTTTAATCCCAGCACTCAAGAGACAGGGAGGGGCAGGAGAATCTCTGAGTTCGAGGCCAGCCTGGTCTACAGAGCAAGTTCCAGGACAGCCTCCAGAAAAACCCTGTCTGGGGTGGGGTGGGGGGCTCTGCTTAAATTTTTTGTTGTTCCTCTTGTTTTTTTCTTTTGTGAGACAGAGTTTGGGTAGTCATAACTCCTGGAACCTAATTTTTAGACCAGGCTGGCGTCAAACTCAGAGAAATCTTCCTGTCTGCCTCCCCAGTGCTGGGATCAAAGGCCACCAAACCCAGCTTAATTTTCCTTTTAGTCCAGGGTGAAGGCTGGTTTGTTGTGCCATGTTCTGATGCCTTGTCCCTGCCTTTCGACAGAACTCTATGAATACTGCATTAAAGAAGGCTACGCAGACAAAAACCTGATTGCCAAGTGGAAAAAGCAGGGCTACGAGAATCTGTGCTGCCTACGCTGCATTCAGACTCGGGACACCAACTTTGGGACAAACTGCATTTGCCGGGTCCCAAAAAGCAAGCTAGAAGTGGTAATGTTTGAAGGCTGGATGGGGAATTATTTTTGTCACTAGAAGCCTGCTAGCAGTCCCTCCCAAGAGTGAGTCCTTCTGATCAGAGATCCTTGCTAGGTGGAATCTGGTGGTCATTCCAAGATATAAGGCTGGTCTCAATACTATCTGTGGGTAAATAACTGGGCCAAACCTCTTTTCTTAGGGAGTAGTAATGGCAGTAGCTCTGATGTGATGGGAAGGCCATTAGGCAACCTATCCCTTTCCCCTTTCCCTCTAGTCTTATGGTAATACTAATCTCCACATGTATTCTGTCAGAACTTTGTTTCAAACCCAGAAGTGATGGCTCATGCCTTTGGGAGGTTGAGACCAGCTTGAAATAGTAATGAGATCATATTTCAAAATAACAGTAAGTTTCAGGGCTAGGTCAGGCACCTAGCAGTGGTGTTGGTAGTGGCTGAGCTCTAGTCCTCACACCCTTGAAATGGAACACCAGGACATCAGGTCAAACAGGCCATCCACTCACCTTGACCTTTGTTTTCTCTCATTACTTAATTAACCAGTTTTCATTTGGTGCAGATGGCCTCAACTCAGTAGGCAGCTCTATCCTCTGCCAAGGGTGGGCTCTGGTGTGGATGTGCCAAGCCATGGTTAATGATTGATGGCTGCTTCCCAAGAGCAGGCTCTTGGCGTTCTAAGTAGGTAGATGGCTGCATAGTATGCATGAAACCCTGGTTCCATCTCCAGTTCTCCAGAAAACAAAGCAAAGACAGCATTGCTCCAGTCCCACAGCCAGCCACTATTCCCTTGGCCACAGGAACTTAAGTATACACTTTTTGTCCTGGTGGCCTCAGAACCCTAGGCAGTAGCAGGCTGACCAGGAGAATGAAAAGGCTGGCTTAAGTTAATCCCAGCACTGGGGAAGCAGAGGTAGCTGGATCTCTTTGAGTTCAAGGCCAGTCTGGTCTACAGAGTGAGTTCTAGGACCGCCAGGACTGTTACACAGAGAAACCCTGTCTCAAAAAAAAAAAACAAGACAAGAAAGGCTGGTGGTTGTGTCTTGTCTTATTCACACAGACATGTAACTTTGGGCTGGTAGTAGCTGATTCCATTTTCACAAAGGAGCTAAAATACCCAACTGGAACTGTCTAGTAAAGATGTCCTGTAGGGAGTGTTCTACTAGCACCCTGTACACCAGGTTCCTGTAGGTATGTGCAAGGCTATAGCAGTGTATCTAACTCCCTCTCCTCTGTTCAGGGTCGCATCATTGAGTGCACACACTGTGGCTGCCGGGGTTGCTCTGGCTGACACCCTTGACTCCTCTACATTCTGGACTTTGGACCTTGTTGGCTCCTGCCTTATTGGGCTACCCCACTCCTGGAGCAGCTCTTCTCAGAGTGGTGCCCAGAGAAGAGACCCAGAGGGAGCATGGGCTCTACAGGTGAAGGCTTCACTAGCTGAAATCTGTAAAAATAAAACCTTTAGACCTCTTGACTATATTCATTTTTTCAGAGCAGCAGGCTCACCAATGATGGGAAGGGCAACCTGGGATTGTTTGGGCACTCTGGGCCCAGCATTTGTCTTTACACCTGTGCCTGTGAAATGCTGCAGTGCCCCTAGAAAAGTGATAGCAGCCCTGTGAAAGCTGGGTACGTGTCATAGCAGCACTCTCCATCACCTGTCACTTAGCCTGCCACCGACACCTGCATTCCCAGTGGCGTCTTGTTTCCCCTTAGGCTTGGTCTGGAACTCCTGCCAGGGGTGGGGGGCTTCTTCTGCTGGCATCACTTTCAGCCACTGCTTGTAATAAGCTCGAAAGCCATCGATCTTCTCCAAGTAGGTGTTTTTCCCTTTGTACTGTAATTAGAAATGCACAGAACTATGTCAAGATGAGTGACATAATACAAAAGCTTCACTATGAAACCAATCCTTGTAATGAATCCAGAACACACTAAGAAAAGCAGGGAGTTAAGCAACATTCTTAGCCAAGCAAAACCACTGCATGCCACCCAGAGCTAACCACCACAGAAGCTGACCCCTGCTGTTCCAAAGAGACTACAGTGGACAAGGTAGAAAAATGAACATTAGATTCACTACTGTAAATCTAATGTATTTGGGGCAGGACAAACTGCCTTTTGCATAACTGCCATCTATCCTAAGGGCACTGTAGTGCTCCTAAACCTGTGAAGGTCACCTCAGCCGCACAACTAGAACTGAGGTATCCCATCAACTCTGCCTGTTTACTGAGCTGTTGCCCTCCTTCTGACCTACCACCTTGGACCACTCCCTACTCCTTGTAGGGAGGAGAGGTCTGATGACTTTGAAACAGCTGGCAGGGAGCTACATGGGGAAAAATAGGCCAAACCAAAATAGAAGACAAAAAATGTTAAAATGTCTCAAAAATAATAAAAAAAAATAAGTGAAAAAAAAAGTACACTGAGGAAATTGCTCAGTGGTAAAATGCTTGTTGTGCAAGCATGATGACAAATTCACTCTAGTACTCATGTCTCATGCTATAATCCCTCTGCTAGGGAGCTGAGCTCCAGTTTCAGTGAGACCCTGTCTCAGTAGGTCTGAGAGTGACAGAAGGCTTTAAGTGGTCTTAGGCCTTTAGTTGCACCTAATACTCCTCTCTGCACTAAGCAATGAGATCATCTACTGGAAAGGTATTTACATCATGGAATTGAAAAAAGTCTAGGGGCTGGAGAGATGGCTTGGCAGTTAAGAGCACTGGCTCTTCTCTTGATGACCTAGGTTCTGCTCCATGCACCCACAAGATGGTAGACAAACACCTACTACTCCAGCTCCAAGGGATCTGGCCTCCTTGGGCACTGCACATACATTGTGCAGAGACACCCAAGAAAAAAAACGTAGTTTTTTTTTTTTAGATGGTGGCCCGTGGATCCTCAGATATGCCTAACCAAATGCTTGGCACAATCTGCCCCTGATGACCAACTCATTCTTACCAGGACTTAAAAATGCCACTCAAGTGGCACATGTGGGAGCCTGAAGTGTGTTCCCACCCATTCACTGACTCCTTCCCATCTGGTTTGTGTCCTAGGCCATAGTTACTACTCCTGCTCTGGAAAGAGAGCACAGGGCCTGACTCAACAGAGCCCCAAACCAAAGGCTAGAGCCTGATGTCTTTGAAGGGGGAGCATGTGCAGTCGCCTTTATCAAATTGTATCACTTACAGTGTGTGTGCCCACCCACTGAACAGTGAAGTACTGAGCACCAAACAACATACACGCATTGGGAAACCAGGTGAACAAGGCAGTATCCATTCCTCTAAGCCAGGTGATTCAGTGAAGACAAGAACTGTGTGAACATAGTAAACCATGGCATCACAAGACTAGAGGAAGGGGAAGCATATCTGAGAAGGGTTACTATTTAAGCTGGACATGACAGTAAACACCTGTAATCCCAGCACTTGTGAGATGGAGACAGGAGAATCAGTAGTTCATGGCTAGCCTGAGTTACCGAGACTGCCTCAAAGTAAAAAGTGGGCTGGAAGTCAGTGGTGGCCTTTAACCCCAGCACTCGGGAGGCAGAAGCAGGCACATCTCTAAGTTCGAGACCAGCCTGATCTACAAGAGCTAGTTCCAGGACAACCTCCAAAGCCACAGAAAAACCCTGTCTCAAAAGTGGGCTGGGGAGATGGCTTTAGTAGTTAAGAGCACATACTGTTCTTCCAGAGGACCTAAGTTCAGTTCACAACCACCTGTCAGCTCCAGGGGATTCAATGTAGCTCAGGAACTTGGGTTTCTCTGAGAGAAAGCTGCTGAACAACTTTCAGCAAGGAAATGAATGTCAAGTCCCCAAGGCCAAAACCACAGATGGCAGCAGCTAAGACAATGGTGAGTACTGTAGAGTTGGCGCACATACCCGGTCAAAGGTAGGAGGGTACTCAGCAGCAAACTCTAGCTGGCGGATGATTACTTCATTCACTGGGACACTGTTCTGCCTCATGTCCTTCAGGATATCAATGAGATAGGCATAGTCCAGCTTCTTGAGGGCCGCATTGATGAGAGTGCTGTAGATATGGGTGTTAGGGGCCATCTGGGATTTCTAGAATATGGATATCACATGGTCAGTAGGATGATGGTGGCTGGCAGGACAGAGCAGTCTACTGTGCCAGGTCCATAGATGGGTCTGCTCCACAGACCAGGCACCAGGAACAACTGACTGTCTAACCCTGTACAAAAGCAAGTAGGCCATATTGCCTCTGCCCTGAAGAATTTGGGGAGAAAGACTGCTACTTGGAGGTCAACAGACAGGAAATGCGATGTAAGACACCTCCTTATGCTTGGCTGTAGTTTACTGGTTAACAGTGTCATCACCACAAGGTGGGGGTCAGCCTATAGAAGCCAGTTTTAGTAGGGTGGTAGAATGTGTAGACACAACTTGGTCCTTGGAAGTGTCTGGGGTTGGTTGGAGTCGACCTAGCAGGCACTCATGAGAGAAGCCAGAGCTGAAAACTACCCTTTGCCCCCAGAGCTTCTGGTCCATCTCTCTTCTGGACATAGATCTCATCCCTCCATTGGAACAGCACCTTCAAGATGGAAATACACTCTATTCTCTGGGCCAGTCAGTTTCTACAGTGGCTTACAGAATCTGGGTTGTGGCCATTCCTGCTCCTTACTCATTTGATCCTGCTGGGTCCCATTTCCCCACAAGTTTCTTCGTAAGAATCCCAGAGTTCTCCCAGAACCATAAGCATCCCGTTTGGGCTTGAGTCTCTCACCTTCAGGTCTGCAAGCAGTTGCATACCATCTCTGGGCCTATGGCACCCAATGGCCAGGTTGCAGAAAGTCCGTAGATTGGGAACAATCCCCTTCTTTGCTAGGATTGGCAACAGTGCCTGTAAGATAGACATGCAGCTGTTACCTGAAAACCCACAAGCCCTGGCCAGACGTCCTGATGAATCCCTCTGCTGGATGCTAGAGGTCTCTTGACTCCCTCAGCTGACTATAGGGCACTCGTGGTCTCCCCTCTCAGCACTCAAGATTCCATGCCCCTTTGCCACAAATGCCCTTCGTGTTTCTGCCTTTCTGATCCTGTGTCGAGCTGCTTGGCGGCCCATCCCTGTACGGGGCCAGGGAACCAGGAGCTCCTGATGCAGAGCAGGAAGCAGTGCTGACCAGTGTGGGAGTGCTGGCTGAGGAGCCCCACACCTGGTGTGAGAAAGAGGGCGTTCAGCCTGGGTAGGGCCCCAGAAAAGGACTGTCTTCTTAGTTTGCCTGAAGGAAGGCGTCCTCTGCACTGTGACCATTTCTCTGTCACCTCTGACCCTCACAGATGCCCAGGGCACTGCTTTTGTCAGCACATCACATAAAAATTGACTGTGTAAGTGACAAACCCCTGTCTGGTGCCCAGCTATCATCTCTGTGAGACGGGGAAAGTCACACACAACCAGGCAGATAGACAGCAGACTAAGTACAGTGTCAGGAGCATATATGAGGTGAGAACATTCTGGAGATGTACAGGGGTGCCTCATGATGAGTCTTTCTCTTTGGGGGATGCTGAGTCAGGATCTCAATATACAGCCTTGGCTAGTCTGGAGTTCACTATGTAAACTGAACTAAAACTTGGATATTCACCTTTCTCTACCTCCCAAGTATACCATATCCAGTCCCTCTCTCCTTCCCTACCCCCCTCAAGAAAAGGCCTCAAGAACTCCAGGCTGGCACTGAGAGATATCTGAAAGGAGGGATTCTTAATTGAGAAACTACATAAAATGGGGCATTTTCTTAATTAGTGATTGATGAGTGGTGCCATCCCTGGGCTGGTGGTTGTGGGTTCTATAAGAAAGCAAACTGAGCAAGCCATGACACAAAAGTCGGTGAGCAGCACCCTCCATGGCTTCTGCATCAGCTCCTGCCTCCAGCTTCCCCTGTCATGACTTCCTTCAGTGATAGACTATGAATATGGAAGCATAACACAAACAAATCCCCCTCAAATTGCTTTTTGTCATGGTGTTTCATCATAGTATACAGTAACCTAAACTAAGACAGTGGCCAAGGACAACCTTAAATTCTTGATCCTCCATCCTCCAATCCCCAGCCCCAGGGATTACAGGTGTGCATCAGTTTATGCAGCGCTAGGAATGGGTCCCAGAATCATATGCATGCTAGGCAAGCCAGGGTACCAGCTGAGCTACCCTCAGCTCCTCACAGTGATTTTTTTTATCTTGTTTTGTTTTTAATGTGTAGGTGTTCTGATTGCATTCATGTCTATGTACCACTTGAATGCTCAATGCCCATGAAAGCCAGAAGAGGGTATTAGATCCCCTGAAACTGGAGTTACAGATGGCTGTGAGCTACCATATAATAAGTGCTAGGAATCAAACCCAGGGCCTCTAGACCAGCCAGTGTTCTTAACCACTGAGGCCTCTCTCCAGCCCATTTATGGTAATACTTAACCAGTTAAACAACTCTACAGCCCTGTTCCCGGGCACCTGCTTATCTTCTGTACTCCTCCTCAGTGTGGTG